CCTTGTGCTGCATTTTTCGCAGTCGTTCCTGGTTAGGTCTTAAAATGTATATATTCTCACTTGGATTACAAACCCTAACATTCTAATAGTAATTCCACCAAGTGAAGTGCAAGAATCCAAATTATTGAAGTCCACCTTATCACAACCCGCACACCCGATTACCTAAATATACATGAACTTACGGTTAAAGCTCAACAGCTGGACTCTGTAGCTCCGTTGGTTAGAGCGCTGCACCGGAATCGCAGGGCCGTAGGTTCAATTCCTACCAGAGGACCTTGTGCTGCATTTTTCGCAGTCGTTCCTGGTTAGATCTTAAAATGTATATAATTCTCACTTGGATTACAAACCCTAACATTCTAACATTTGAAATTAAGGATTTGGAGGTTTTGCGATCACTGATAACTTGATAATAATATAAAACAAAACACTTCTATCTGCAACTTTTACTATCACTGATAACTTGATAATAATTTAAACCAGTCAAGTTGTAGTTTAAATAAAGAATAATACATGGGTGCACGAAATACCAGATTTATTTCGAGTGTTGAACATGAGTGCGGAGCGAACAAGTGAGCGCATCGAACGAGTGAGATGTCATGTTCAACACGAAAAATAAATCTGGTATTTCCAACCACCCATGTATTTTTCTGTTTATTATATAAAGGACAGTCTTTGGAAAGCGATAATTTTTACAGAAAAGCGATAATTGAAAAGGCGATAATTTTCACATGTGAGATTATCATGAATAATTTCACATGTGAGATTATCATTTTTATCAGTGCTCGAAATCTCTTTAAAATACTCATTAATAATTCATAAACCTTGTGGCAAACATGTCAGCCATAATATGTCACGTGGAGTGACTTTATATCTGATAAAACACATGTGGCATTATATAATTGTTCATCTTAATTAGCATGATTATACTATTAATGGTTCATCCTAATTAGTATTCTTTTGTAGTCGTATTTTAAGCTATTCAAAACACTCGTTGTCGTGTTTTATCAGATATATAATGCTCGGCTGCGCCTCGCGTTATATATCTGATAAAACACTCCTACTCGTGTTTTAAATAGTACATAAAACACTATACTTTATATGATAAAAATTCATAAATTTGAACCACGCTAGACCATGACAACAGCAAAATGCTCTATAGTATGATGCACAAAATTTTGGGAGATGAAATACACGAACAATAAATCAGAGAGTGTTTGCGTGAATGCGTGAAACTCACTGGTGGGGGGGGGTGCAACACCCCTGATAATTGCTCATGAGGAATTTCAGGTAGATTTCCAGTGCACTTTTAGGTAAATTTAAGTAGATTTGCAGAAGATTTTCAGGGGAATTCAGGTAATTCTCAGGACATGAGAAAGTGAATTTGGAAAACAACTGTATTTTCGGAAAAATTATTATATGTTTTGAAAATTTTTTGTACATCTGGAAACATTTTGGTAACCTCCCCCCCTCTATCTAACCTCACACACACCCTGAGACGAAGTGCTAGCAACGGCACTGAGTATACATCTTTTGAAAACAGGCGAGGGGTTATTGCATGCATGTATTTCTAGTCTATATATATATAATGCGCGTTCTAATTTAGTTACTTATTGTAGCTATTCAATGTGTAATCTTTCTATAATAATAATAATAATAATAATAATATAAACGTGCCAGAAGCCTAAAACTTGAAAGAATAATTTCAATATGTTAAACCAACAATTATACCATGACAAAAATCCTCTAATCAAAAAAATGTTCTGAAAGAAACAAACAAGACTTTGGTAGAAATAAATTCAGTTTACCACTACTATTACAATCAGTTTTATACCAATTTAAAAACAACCATAAAAAACAACCGCGACTCAATAAAATACACGGTTTAGAGCTTTTTTACGACCCGCGACTTTTTACCCGCGACATTTTACCCGCGACCCGCGACATTTTACCCGCGACACGCGACTTTTTACCCGCGACACGCGACTTTTTACCCGCGACACGCGACCCGCGACCATTAGTCAAACTCTACTGAATGCACATGCCCTACCGTGCCCGGTTTGAAAAATTAATTTGTACACTAGCTAGTACTATAATAAATACTAATAGTTGCATGCTCAGTTGGCTATCATTGCATGCAAGGTTGAAATATATTTCTCCATTTTTACGTGACACTACGATTGGCTTAACCAAAATTATTCATTGAATTTTGAAAGGTAAAACATATTAGGGTTTCAGAAAATGGTTTGGGCTTCTATAGCTTGTCGCAGATTTAATTTAAGGCAGCGTTCCTACATGATTCTCAAACGACTTGACCATTACATTAGTTGAAGCGCAGTTTTCGAGAACGAAATTTTTTGCAGCAAACTCTACATGATGGTTCGTCGTTCGCGTTTTTTGGTGCAACAAGCCAATGTTTAAAAGCAGGGTATTATATAAATTTTCGAAATTTTTGTTTATCCTTTTTTAAATTTTAGTCTTTTTTGGAGCGCTTCCCTCGGATTCTTAATCAGAAAATTCGAAATCATTTTCCGGTGTAAAAAAGCTATTTACATTTTTTCGCGCCAATTGCGCCTATGATCGCTCGCTACTGGAGTGTTCCTCGAAAACTAGACCGAGTCTGGGGAAAATGTTGGCGATTTAAGGAATCTTTACCGCTGAGTCTAAGGAAAATTTGGAATTCCGTTCTAAGAGCCCTGATTACATATTTGTGTAATTCAGTTATTTTACAACACTGATAATCGGCAGGAATCGTAAGTAAGTTTTGAGTTATACATGTGTTCACAGAAATATATCTGCCTATTATCAAGTAATATACACATGCATGGTTATCTTAAACAAAATTATTGTGGGAACTGAGCTGGAAATTAGTCTCCTCCGCAGGCATCTCACCCGACGAATCGGGTGGTGGGAAAAGTTTGTGATTTTTTTCCAAAACCCACTCGCAGGTTAAAACTTATAGAGAGCCTGGGGAGGAGGCCAGTTGGAAATGCACTTTCCGGTCTTGTAATTTTCGATATTTTCTGCGGGGGCACGCTCCAGACCCCCTAGCTCCTGCACTTCATCTCAACACCAACCCCCCTCCCCAATCGTATTAACCATGGATAGGGTTTTTATTTGGAGGGCAAAGCGGATATTGAATACATCGCTATAAAGATAGAATGACACAATGCCTATATATGTTTTATATAAATATTATGGTTAATATGTTAATGAATTTCCTTGTAGGCGTAACAGCTGTAGCATACTTAGAATTTGGTCGCTATTAGACTTAATACAACTTTAGCAATGGATTTTTCTAAAATCGTTGTGGAACCTCTATCCACATCACTAAACAAGAGCAATATCGTGATAACAAAAAATTATGGACTTGATGGGAGTAGCGGTTTTTGGTGTTTGAAATTTACGTTCGACTACAAGCTGGAGAAGGCCATTGCAGTGGGTCTGACGAATTTCAAGTACGACTCGACAGGCAAGATTTGGACTCTAGAGATAGAGAAATGCCACTATCTGCGCATTAAAAATGCGGACGATCGTGTGTCTTTTGATATGGAAGATGAGCTTGTTAATGTCAATGAGTTGAAACGTCTTCGAGGATGTGCGTTTAACAACGAGAAACTTCAAGGTTATTTGGAAACGAACGTCGTGCCACTGATAACAAAGAAAATAAGTATACGAAATTCGCCCCACAATTTCGGTTTTTCCTCAGCCACAAAGCGAAGGACAAGCCTCTCATGCGTACATTTAAAGCTGGGCTAAAGTTTCTCGGGTATTCGACGTGGATAGACAAATCCGATATGCCTATTGTAGCACATCTGCCGTCGGCTTTGAAAATATCGATCGACGATTGTGATTGCCTTATTGCCTGGTTGAACGAGGAATATTTCAAAAGCGAGTACTGCACAGCAGAGCTCTTATACGCCAAGAATCTTGGTAAGATGATTCTACCATTTGGAGTATTCAGCAAAATTAAAACCCGGCTTCGCGAAGACGAAAACCTCAAATTCTTGGAAGGCCTTTTAATAAGTAACCCAAATGAGATGTCTTTCTTTGAAGTGTTAAGACGCATCGATGAAACATTGTTCAATTTTGAAGATGGCTTTTGCTTCATCTTAGACAGCTTCAAACAACATCCGGCATCAATTTATCGTATAGTTGTAACCATCGGCTGACTTATTTTAATTAACAGAGCGTCAAAATCACAGAGTATATACACACAGGTCAGAGTGATGAGAGCTGGGTCGCATCGTTGAATCATAGCGTTATAAAAAAATATAGTATTTTAACCCAGTTATAAAACTCTTTAAACTGAGGCTGATTTTATAAGATTACTTAACTGGTATTCAATATTCTTGTTCATATGCATGCATGTCAAGTACGTGTAATCAGGTTTTATCAGTTTGGATATATTTACTTAAAGCCATCTTAATTTGTAATTCTAATATAGACTTCTTGTGTACAAATCCACTGGGTACCCCGACTATGACTCCTGCCAAGCAATGTAAAATAATAACATTTTTCAACTTATTTAAACTGGCATCAAACGAATTTCTTTATTAAGCACAAGTTTGAATATTTCACGAAATTCACGTAAAAAAACATGGTACATGCATGCATGAAGTACATTTCACACTGGCAAATTGGTAGCAATATTAGTCAAAATTAAGTAAGCTTGAACTATACTAAAACTCAAAAAATTGATGTTTTCAAAGTTTTATTATTTTCGTAATTCCCTGCTCCTCCTAAAACAGCGCAGCTTTGTGATCCAAGAATGACGCGAGAATTTAAATCCGGGGAACAAGATGTTAGCCAATCAGAGAGCGTTATTTGCCCCCATTAGGAAGCTTCGATTTGTCCATCGATTTTTCCCGCAATGGCCACTACTAACTTTAATCATAATAGATAGCTTAAGAGGACTGGGATATGGGAGTGGCTATGCATACGGGCTGGGACTAGGATGTCGTCCTAATGTAGTCCCAGTCCTCTGCTTAGCCCTGACGTCCTAGCTGGCGTCGACGTCGTAGATCTTAAGCTATCTAATATCTCTATACTATAGGCCGATTTAGACTACATAACTTTTGCCTACTGAAACTGTCGGCATGCAACCTCCTTACAACTTGAATTGTACTGTATAAATCAAGAGAACGACAATTCATCTACGACGACAACGTAGGCGAGTTGTATGTTAATTTACACAGTACAACACTAACGCAAGTTGTAAGCAGGCATGCGATATTTAGGAAAAGTTGTGTAGTATCATTAACAAAGCTGCCAAGGTGGAGTGATCTGCATGTGTGAGACGCCATCTACGGACACAATCTAATGCCCCCCCACGGAAAATTTTTAAAATTTGGGTCTATGATATGGAATTTCCAGCGTTCATTCCCAAGACACGATTTATTCACAATTGCTGCACCTTGGATACTGAATCAGATAGTATTTACGCACCGGAAATAGGCTCAATTTATGGCATCAAATGAGGTGTTGACAGCAAATTCACAGTGATAATAAACACCTACCCACTCTACTGTGTTCACCAGATGAATTTACTGACTAATTTCATAGTAAAATAGAAAAACTAAACGCTAAAACATTTCGCAGGTTTCCAAAGTTAACATTGCTCTCCAGATTTACTTTTTTTTAGTAAACTCTTCAATCACAAGCAGCCAAAGCAGCTCATGCGTGAGATAAATAATACTGCGCGTGTGAGCGTGAGAAAATATGCTGAGGCGTGTGTCTCGCGCATAATGCGTGAGACTTGGTAGGTTCATCAATCGGCCTTGCCAGTTAATTTTCCTAACCACTGATCTATATATATATATATATATGCCACTGATAGGAGGCAGCGAAATCAGTGGTTTGAATGTTTGCAACGGACATGCAGCTCACTGGCAAAATGAATATTAGTAGTTAGCACGGACGATAACCTTATTCTCTTCCGAATAAAAACCTTATTTATTGTGTAGAGACTAGAGTAAGATTTGGTTTGGAGTTCGAATTAATTTTCGCGCAAAGCACATATATGGATGGCATTTATAGACTTGCCCACAAGTCGACTGAATCTGTGAAATAATAATTAACAATTATTCGCCGAAGGCGAGGTGATTATCGGTGAATAAAAACCGAGACGAAGTCGAGGTTTTTATTCACGATAATCACCGAGCCTGAGGTGAATAATTGTTTTAGTATAATTTCATAGGTGATTATATGGAAAAAATAAAAATATACACATTTCTTCGTCATTTAATTGACAAAAAGGCTTCGGCCGCCATTTTGAAAATCGCTTAGGTGATTATCGCGTAATAATCACCTCAACGGCAACCAATCAGCGTGGAGAATTTTCAATAATCACCTATTTAATTATACTAATAATATTTAGTCCACATAAATACCAAATTCGGTATGCACATATATACACATAAAACTATATATACAGATACACACATAAAACTAATACTACAAATGTACATTACATTATAGGCATAAACCCATGTATAAACGTACGTACTCGAATTATGCATGCAGAGTAAGCTAGTTAATTACTTACTCAACTTTTCAAAAATTGTGAGAACTTCAAAACATGCAGTATTTAGCTACCAAAGTCATAATTGTTTTACCTTTAGTTAAATAAATAAAATGAATAATTTATTTTGCAAAAATTATCAATAAATAAAACAAAAACAATAAACAATAAACAATAAACAAAAAACAAAAACAAAAAAAAAAAAAAAATTAGTTCCTCTAACCGCAAATCATCAAAACCACTGACTTTGTCGACTTATATTAGACAGCAATTTCATACCGTAATTATGCAAATCCTTGTCACACTGTAACTATTTTACATGGATATTGGATAGCGTTTTTATTCGGAAGAGGAAGTGGATATTGAATACATCGCTATAAAGATATAATGAAACAATGCCTATATATATATTATTTTTGGCATTTTCAGCATCACGATCAACTTGTTTTCTCGTAAGCGTTAATAACTGAACAAAATTATTGCCTTCTGTTAAAGCGTCTTCCATTGCTTTGTTATTTGAAGCAAGAAGTTCCTTATAGTTGTTCGCTACATCCTTGACGAGAACACACGAATTGCTTGACGTGTCTAAAATCCATGCAGTCTTTACAAATTAATTGGTCACAAGTTTCGCAATAAACTTTTAGTCTCTTGCCGGTATGTTCACTGCAAAACATTCTGTCCACGTACGATTTTCTTACGATTTTCTGGCTTTGATAACTCTTTCATGGTTAGAACAGAGTGACCGTTGTGACCTCGATATTTATTATGGTCTGTCAGACATTCTCGGCACAAGAATTTTTCACAGGTGACACAACGAGCAACTGAGTAGCTTTTACTACAATTATGTGAGCAGGGAACGCCGGTTCCACGATCCAGTACGGCTGTCGCTTTTACCATGTTACAGATAAAATGGTTTCATGGCATGTCGGCGACCTGTTTGTCGGGATCGAGCACAAACGTCGTACGACAATTTGGACATGGGAACTCTCGAATAGGTCGACGGCGACTTCGGTGAGGTGCTTTGCCACGACATGTCTTGACAACCTCTTCCAAACAAGCTTTACAGAACGAGTGGAAGCAAAGAAGGGTTCTGGGGTCTTTTAACACTTCGAGACATACAGTACATCGCAAATTTTCTTCCAATTTGTCAATCGGGTTCGTTTTTGGAGCACGAGCCATTTGAAACGAGATAAATTTCGGAGAAAGGACCCCAATTGTCTTAGCCTCGACAATAATGTGAACAACACCGATCCTAGTATTGTCATACCATATCAATTCCTGGTAAAATATTTGTTTACAGTATCAAATTACAGCCGCATATACATTGCGAAATGCAAACCCTTGGTCATAAATTAAAATCTCATATCATTCTGTGGTGGCAGTTTTTTTGTGCCAATAATACCTTAGGGACTGGTCATAGAGTAACTGCTAGGGTCGGCTGGAGTGATTTGGGATGGGCCATGGAAAATCTTTCGGCAGTTGCGATGGGCCGCCAATTTTTTTGTATGTCCACGGTGGTGCCACGAAACAAAAACCCATGTCTACTTCAAAAAATAAAGATATTAATAATAAAAGTAAACAAAACTATCCAAATTATCAAATGCAAATGATACTATTGAAGCCAACACTTTGTTTTATACAACAACAAGAAGTGGTCGAATCACAGCAAATACAACCAACTGGAGAGCAGCTCAGTATCGTAATTGGTGATGAATATGTGTTGGTCAGTCAACTAGCTTGGTGGAATTATGTAAGTCAATACAGTGCCGGTGTATATTTACAATGTTCATACCTGCAAGTTTTTTTATTATAAAAGTGTATTTTTCCAATTAATTTAAATTGGTGAAATTTTTACTCCACATTCATCCTAAGATGGGTCACCAAACTTATTGGCAAAATTTGTAATATATCTCCAGCCCACCCTATAGCAGTTACTTTACGACCAGTCCCATATTAATCACTAATCACAGGTTAGGAAAATTGTTTTGCTTGGCTAAACAAAAAACCTAATAATAATACTGAATGCAGATGCCCTTTCGATATATCTGCGTATTTTCAGGCAATATACACATGCATGGTTATCTTAAACAAAATTATTGTGGGAAATAGCTGGAAATTAGCCTCCTCTGCAGGCATCTCACCCGACGAATCGGGTGGTGGGAAAAAGTTTGGTGATTTTTTTTCAAAACCCATTCGCAGGCTAAAACTTATAGAGAGCCTGCCGATGAGGCTAGCTGGAAATGCACTTTCCGGTCTTGTAATTTTCGATATTTTCTGCGGGGTCATGCCCCCCAGACCCCCTAGCTCTTGCACTTCATCTCAATACCAGCCCCTCTCCCCAATCGTAATTATTAACCATGGATGGGGTTTTTATTCGGAGGACAAAGCGGATATTGAATACATCGCTATAAAGATAGAATGACACAATGCCTATATATATTTTTTTTTATATATATTTATATATTCTTGAAAGCATTATGGTTAATATGTTAATGATTTCCTTGTAAACAGCTGTGGCATACTTAGAATTTGGTCGCTATTAGACTTAATACAACTTTAGCAATGGATTTATCTACACTCGTTGTGGAACCTCTATCCACATCACTAAACAAGAGCAATATCGTGATAACAGAAAATTATGGACTTGACGGAAGTAGCGGTTTTTGGTGGTTGAAATTTACGTTTGACTACATGCTGGAGAAAGCCATTGCGATGCGTCTGACGAATTTCAAGTACGACTCGAAAGGCAATATTTGGACACTAGAGATAGAGAAATGCCACTATCTGAGCATTAAAAATGCGGACAATCGTGTGTCCTTTGATATGGAGGATGAGCTCGTTAATGTCAATGAGTTGAAACGTCTTCGAGGATGCGCGTTTAACAACGAGAAACTCCAAGATTATTTGGAAACAAACGTCGTGCCACTGATAACAAAGAAAATCAAGTATACGAAATTCGCCCCACAATTTCGGTTTTTCCTCAGCCACAAAGCGAAGGACAAGCCTCTCATGCGTACATTTAAAGCTGGGCTAAAGTTTCTCGGGTATTCGACGTGGATAGACGAATCCGATATGCCTATTGTAGCACATCTGCCGTCGGCTTTGAAGATATCGATCGACGATTGTGATTGTTTTGTTGCTTGGCTGAACGAGGAATATTTCAAGAGCGAGTACTGCACAGCAGAGCTCTTATACGCCAAAAATCGTGGTAAGATAATTCTACCATTTGGAGTATTCAGCGAAATTAAAACCCGGCTTCGCGAAGACGAAAACCTCATATTCTTGGAAGGCCTTTTAATAAGTAACCCAAATGAGATGTCTTTCTTTGAAGTGTTGAGACGCATCGATGAAACATTATTCAATTTTGAAAAGATGGCTCTTCCTTCCTCTTAGACAGCTTCAAACAACATCATCAATTTATCGTATAGTTTTAACATTCAGCTGATTTATTTTAATTAACAGAGCGTGAAAATCACAGAGTATACACAGAGGTCAGAGTAAAAGCCGCACGAGAGCTGAGCCGCATCGTTGAATCATAAGCGTTATAAAAAGATATAGTGTTTTAACCCAATTAAAACTCTTTAAACTGAGGCTGATTTTATAAAATTACTTAACTGGTATCCATGCTCATCTGTCAAGTACGTGTAATCAGGTTTTATCAGTTTGGATATATTTACTTAAAGCCATCTTAATTTGTAATTCTAACTGATAGACTTCTTGTGTACAAATCCACAGGGTGCCCGACTATGACTCCTACGCCTACTAACAATGTAAAATAATAACATTTTTCAACTTATTTAAACTGGTATTAAACGAATGACTTTAAGCACAAGTTTGAATATTTCACGAAATTCACGTAAAAAAACATGGTAGATCGGCATGAAGTACATTTCACACTTACACCCAAATTGGTAGCAAGATTTCAAAATTAAGTAAGCTTGAACTATACTAAGACTGGAAAAATTGATGTTTTCAAAGTTTTATTATTTTCGTAATTCCCCGCTCCTCCTAAAACATCGCAAGTTTGCATGCAAGAATGAGAATTTACATCCGGGGAACAACGGATGTTAGCCAATCAGAGAGCGTTATTTGCCCGCATTAGGAAGCTTTGAGTTGTCCCTCGATTTTTCCCGCAATGCCCACTCGATACTTTCATAATATCTCTATAGGCCGATTTAGAATACAGGGGCCGGTTGTATAAAAAAGTGATTAAAGTTAACTATATAGTTATAGTGGAAACATCATCCAATAAGAAGCGCCTATTATAAAAAAAATTATAAAAAAAAGGGACAAATTCTATAAATTTTGTGGTCAATTTTGTGATGTTTCGAAAATTTTTGTTAGGTTCCGAAAAATTTTGGTGTGTCCGGAAAAATTTTTTGACCCCTAAGCGACGGGGGGGGGGGG